ACATACATACATACATACATACATACATACATACATACATACATACAAACGTACATACATACATACATATATACATACGTACATACGTACATACATGCATATTATATTAAGCATCATATTAAATAATTATATTATAGACACAAGTCTACATATAGAAAAAGAGACTAAAAGTATTAACCACACCCACTCGCTATATGACAAATACACTAAAGGCTCAAAATGGACCCATTGCATGGGTCAGTATGTGAGAGTTCACAGTTGTCTAGTGGGTTCCTCTCCGTGTGGCTGTGTTGTGGATTGGTGACTCTTCAACTCATCTCATGTTACTATACGATGTGAAGCAGAGTGAAAGAGTGTGTTTAAAGCAAACACTTGGCACATAATCCCTTCAAAAGGCTTGCAATCGCATGGGAGTCATAGTGCGCAAGCGCATAATTCAGAAAAAATAAAAAAACAGAAAAGGAAAAAAATACCGGAAGAAGCGTGCGTCTCTTCCTGGTTCATCATCTGACGTGTCTAAAACTCTTTTCCACCGGTGTGGGGTTTGTACTCGTGGGATATTCAATATACGTTGACTTATTTTCTGGTAAGATTTCATCTCCCCCAACCCCCCCGTAGACATTTCCACTTTCTTTTCTCATTGGTCCTCCGTTTTAACTGTTGCTTCTGTGTATGTGTGCTCTTTTAAATTAAATACGCAGATACGTGGTGTTAAGATGCTGGACTTCTTCACCATCTTCAGTAAAGGGGGGATAGTGCTGTGGTGTTTTCAGGGTGCCGGGGTCACTGAGTCTTTCACGGGTCCAGTCAACGCTCTGATTCGCTCGGTGATCCTTCAGGTAAGCCACACAGCCGGGTAAACTCACTCGTTAACGTCCAGGTTGATCCGTAAGCTAATGCTAATGCTAAGCTAACGCTAAAAGGTAGCAAAAACCATTGCGTAACAGAATTGCGAGCAAAACAAACTCATTATTGGAGGAAGTTAAATTAATGTCGCCCAGTTTAAGCTTCTCTGGTTAATTTCGACATACTCCCTTCAAATTAGACGACTTTTCCTGTTTTAAAATGCACTCAGAGGCAACCAGAGCAACAACATATGTTTAGCTTCAGCTGGTATTCACCCATGTTTGTGTTTTCCTTTCTGTCCCCCCCCTCTTTTCTTTTTACAGGAGCGAAGTGGGAACAATTCGTTCACTCACGAAGCCCTGAATCTAAAATACAAACTGGATAATGAGTTCGAGTTGATTTTTGTGGTGAGTTTACCTTATTAAAATTCATTCAAAACAGTGGTGAATCAGCTTTGAGGGGCAGACAGCTCACCTGTCAAAGTCTGTCCTGCTTTGCAACCCGCTATCCTTGGCTTAATTTTTCGCCAACATTTTTTTCAGGTGGGTTTTCAAAAAATCCTGACGCTGACATATGTGGACAAGTTTATAGATGATGTTCAGCTTCACTTCAGGGATCGTTACAAGAATGATCTGGAACAAAAGGGGGCTTTGAAGCTTCTCAACCACAGTTTTGAGTTTCAGGAAGACTTCATGGTGCTTCTGAGGTAAAGCAAACAAAGTTGAACTCTTTCAGTTCTTAATTGCTCCTTGGAGCCTGCTAACCTTTCTTTTACAGATGTTTGAATTACAGCAACTGGCTGTTTAACTGGTCAAGTCCCGCTGTCTTATGGAATAAAAAAATCCCTTTACCAATAGTTAGAAATGGGTCATTATCAGTACGTGCACGTGTTTTAAAATTTTTCTTCTCAAACACGTTTTCAGAATTAAGCAAGGGATATATGGATGACTCCCATCATATTTAAAGAAAATTTCTAATATATGGGGAAAATATATATTTTCTCCTGCTTCATTATTGCAGCTATTGGGGTAAATGACACATACATGGAATCAGCATTTATGTTAGTAGCTGGGACCAAAAAGGGGTTTTATTATAGTGGCCAGCTTCATCAGATGGGTTTGTTATCTAAAGATATAATTTTTTATTGGTCCTGTGCAGCCATAAGAAATTATTTGTTTGAACACATGTGATCCTCAACTAAACCTTCTTATTTATTTATTTATTTTTCAAACAACAAGAGAGGCGGAGGCGAGCAGTAAAGCTCGAGGCCACCATCAAATACGGTCCTTTAATGAGTCCAAGAAATCCCAAAAAACTGTGAAGTCAATGATTGAAACGAAGGGCGGGGACAAAGAACAAGGTGGCAAGAAGAGTAAAAATGCCAAAAAGGAGGGTACGTGTCCCCAATGGTACCTGAAGTAATTCTTGTGCTTGTTTTTTTTGGGCTCTCAGACCATTGACGATGAGTATTTTCCAGCTCCCGCAGCCGAGCCTGCCAAAGGGGACGAGGGGAAGGCCTCGTCCTTGAAGCAGAAGACGGTTGAGAATGGCAACCAAGGCCTGACTCCTGAGGAGGTCATTCAAAAGAAGCGAGAGGAATTCTTCCGCAAGCGCACAGCGGTACCTGCTGAAAAACCCAGGCAAGGCCGTTTGCGTCGCGTTTTCGCGCTTCATCCGCAGACGCAGAGTCGTTCTCATGGCTTTTCCCTTTTCCATCCGCTCACAGCAAGTCCCCAAAGCCTCAAAAGCCAAAGGAGAAACAGATGCGTGTGTGGAACGATTCCCCCGGCAACCCCAAGAACCTGGACTACAGCGACAGGAACGGAGGGGGCTCTCCCAACGGCGGCGAGCAGAACGCAGAAGCACTAATGGACCCGGTAAGAACAACCGCATCGGCATCCCCCGCCTCTGTAGAAATCCCACTTTTATAGAGTTTGGGTGCTTTTTCAGGGAATGCAGGTCCACTCCATGAAGGGAGACCTGCAGTCTGTGGATTACGATTCCAGCGAGGAGCGGGATATGGAGGAAGAAGAGGAGGTGGAGGAGGAGATTGAGGTCCCCAGCCAAACGAGCAAGGCCAGGTATTAAAAGCGCCCCGACTCTCATTGTAGGTTTTGGTCCCGTTTGGACACCCAGCTGTATCCATCTGTCCTCAGCTCCAAAAAGGGCGCCGGGTTCGGGGGGATTTTCGGGATGCTGAAGGGCCTGGTGGGCTCCAAGAGCCTGTCTCGAGAGGACATGGAGCCAGTGCTCGAGAAGATGAGGGACCACCTCATCGGTAGGTTTTCAGTCGCCCGGCTTCTCCCGGGTGGTTGCGTGCGTTAACGTTTCCCTCCTTCTCCACGCCTCAGCCAAGAATGTAGCTGCCGACATCGCCTCTCAGCTGTGCGACTCCGTGGCCAAAAAGCTGGAAGGCAAAGTCATGGGCACGTTCACCAGTGAGTACCCACAGCAGAGTGTCCGTCCTCTCCCCTCTCGTCAGGTTGCTTTAGGGATGGATGCACATCCTGAGAGCATCCGCCTGCCCGCTGGGAGCTGTGATGTGATTACAGTAATGTACTTTCTCTACCATTGCTGATTTGATACCATCAAAGATGGATTTGAATTGGATCTCCTCAGTTTCAGAGACAGCGAGCGTTATTGTTTGAAGGCTGTTCCAGCACAGAAAGAGAAATCCCTTCACTGAAATAGTCGTTTTCTTAATTTGAGTCCATTTTTAAAGCATTATTTTTACAATGGTGCTCTAAGGTTATATTTGAGCTATCTTTTGTACCAAACACAAGCAGACAGACCAAGTAATTTCCTTCCAAATTTCTCATATTTACATATTGATACCACAAGTATTATGTGGTATATTTACATATTTCTACCACAAATGTGCCTTTTTAGAGATGGTAATTACCAAATGTCAGTTGTAAGTGGGTGCTGGCAAAACATGTCGGCAGGAACAGATTGTAAGGCTTTGTTTCCCGTGCGTAGCTGTGGCCTCAACGGTGAAGCAGGCCCTGCAAGACTCCCTGGTGCAGATCCTGCAGCCAAAGCGCCGGGTGGATATTCTGCGGGACGTCATGGAGGCGCAGAGCCAGCGCCGGCCCTTCGTCATCACGTTCTGCGGCGTCAACGGCGTCGGAAAATCCACCAACCTGGCAAAAGTGAGATCTTCTTTCTTTTCTCTGCACACTAGCACACGCTCCTAGGTTTTGGAGCTGGGGCTGTATACAGAAGAATGTACAGCTCAGCGTGTGGGGCACACAGCAAAGCCGCAAAGTTTCCAGCAGACGCACCCACCTGGCACCACCGTTCAGCTCTCTTAAGCCAGTAGGGGAATGAACATGGTCTCAGTTTTCTCCCCTCAGGGTCCGTTAAAAGGCGTGCGATGGCAGAGTTGGACTTCTTTTTGCTGCACAGGCATTTTTTTTTTTTTTCTAATGGGAGTTTCCAGCTCGTGGCGAGCCTCTTTGCTGGCAGTAAGAGGTCCTTCCTCTCGCTCCAGATCTCCTTCTGGCTGATAGAGAACGGCTTCACCGTGCTGATCGCCGCCTGCGACACGTTCCGGGCCGGCGCCGTGGAGCAGCTGCGCACCCACCAGCGCCGCCTCAACTCTCTGCGCCCCCCGGGGAAGGAGGGGGGGCGGCCCGCCGTGCATCTGTACGAGAAGGGCTACGGGAAGGACGCGGCCGGGATCGCAATGGAGGCCATAGCCTACGGTAAGACCCCCCTGGAGCCGCGGGGTAGCCCCTCCAGACCCTTCAGTACCAAAACCAGGCCCTAAGCGCTCCGTTTCCCCTTCGACTCTCCCCAGCCCGCAACCAGAGCTTCGACGTGGTGCTGGTGGACACGGCCGGGCGGATGCAGGACAACGCGCCCCTGATGACGGCCCTGGCTAAACTCATCGCGGTCAACATGCCCGACCTGGTGCTGTTTGTCGGAGAGGCTCTGGTGGGCAACGAGGCCGTCGACCAGCTGGTAAGAGCGCCCACCGGGCCAAAGCTTAGGTTTAGGGGGCGGGATTTAATCCAGCTAAGAGCCAGCCAGAAGGGAAAAAAATCAAATAGAAATCTGCTAGCTGTCCACCAGAGGTCAGCCTCGCTCTACAAGCCGCTCCTGAGTTCAATAATCATGTTTACACAGATGTTCTCCCCCTCCTCCTCCCACCTCTAACATCACTAAGCAGGAACCATGGTTTTATGCATCTAAGCTCTGTCCTCTTCAGATTTCACCTGAATGATGCAGCCATTTGCCTTCCTCCTGTCCTCAGGTTAAATTTAATCGGGCCCTGGCTGACCACTCCATGTCCGACAAGCCGCGCCTCATCGACGGGATAGTTCTCACCAAGTTCGACACTATAGATGACAAGGTAAACCCCACAGAGAAACGGAAGGCCGAAGCAGACGATGACTTGGTCTGTCCATGCTAATCGGCAATTAGCAGTTTGAAATAATACACGTGCTCATGCGACATCTACCCCCCCCCTACGATAGGTCGGCGCTGCCATATCCATGACTTACATCACAGGCCAGCCAATCGTGTTCGTGGGCACTGGGCAGACCTACAACGACCTGCGCAGCCTCAACGCCCGCGCTGTGGTCGGCGCCCTGATGAAGGCCTAAGAGCAGCTGTGTTCTTTTTTTCTCTCCTCCAAACAGTATCTTTGCCGCATTGCCATGAGATGTTCCAGCCCTGCTGCAGCCGCCTTTTCATGCTCTCCCCCAACTCGGCATCACACGAACGAACAAAGGACAGATGTGCCCCTTAACAGAACTGACAGGGTTTTTTTTGTTTTTTTTTGTCCTACTCAACAATAAACCCGAAGGAGCCTCCCATTTGCATTATTTTAAACTTTTATTATTAGTTTAATTTTTTTTAATTTTGGGTAAAAGAGAGGAAAAAATACAGCTCAGCTCAAGTTCTCAGAAAAAAAAGTTTGATCTGGACTGAGGCCGAGTCAGCAGTTTACTGGTGTACAGAGTTAAGACTTTAGCTTTGTCCCGGGTACAAAAGCCGAGCTCGAGGACAGCCGAGCGACTGTAGTGCCTCGACTCCGTTCTTAGCCAAATTAAACTTGCAAAGAATAGCCACAGTTCAGGTCAGAAAAGGTTTACAGTTAAGGGGTTTTTAAAAATCAGCATTGATTGGCTTAGCTGATGTAGAAGAACTTAAGATTTAATCACAGGGAAGAAAAACCAAGCTATGTTAGGTGATTATAAGTAAAACACAGTGCAACATTTGTCTAATCTATTTCAATCATGTCCCAGAGCTCCCCGTCTCCCCCCTGAACTTTTAGGTTGTCGATGAAAAAGCAAATGTGTTCCGTCATTTTGTGTTTTAGTTCTGTCCGGGCCGTAGATGTGACGCTTCACCTCAGACGGTCAAAGGAAGATCTGCGGCCCTTCTATTTATTTACCCCCTTTGATTTATTTTTCCTCGAGGAAACAAGTCTTAAGGACAACCAACCGCCCCTTTTTTTTTTAAAGTTGTGGTAGTGCAATACGAGAGAATCAAGGGTAATACTGATGATTTGAACTAATTTATGAGAATGTAAACCTTTCTAAATAAAGCTGCTATATGCTACAAGACAGCCTGGAAAGTGGAACTTGTTCTGTAAGATGTGTGCCAAAAAATGGTCTTCAAGAGCAAATTAGTGGGGGGGGGATACCAAAAGCTTTATTTATAAATATTACACAATAAAACACAATATTTTTTTTATAAAAAGAGGAAAGAGAAGAAAGGCTTACAAATTACATTTCATTTTCAGCACAGGAGTGACAGATTGTTTTCGCCGCGTTGTCAGACATGAACTGATTCGGAGGTGGATCTCCTCCCGGGCCGCTAGCATGCAAATGTTCCGTGGTTGCAGGGATACAGCCTGACGGGTTGGGTCCATCCGCATGAGGAATCCTCAAACCAGAAGGCAAGCTCCGACAGCAACGGGTTCCGCGCTCTGCCTACATGAAGGTGCCCCCGAGCCTTTCAAACTTTTGGGGTTGAGGCAACATTTAAATACACCCAAAAAAAAAAAAGGAGGTGGTCTGAGGTCGAGCAGTGGCACAGAGCTGAAGCTTCACCCTCTATGAAATGAGAACTTTTGTAACAAAACTAAACCACGCAGCACTCGGTGAAGCAGGGATGCAGAGGAGAACCAGTGAAGAGCATCAACTGAAATGTCAACTCCGGAATCTTTGTGGAGGGAGGGGGGAATTAAAAAGGAGCGGGGCCGGGATTTCCCATCGGCCAGCGGGCAGCGAGACAAGTCTGGGCCGGGTGTGATTTTGGCATTCTGAAAACATCCTCCGCTCCTGCTCAGTCCTAACCTTGGAGAAGGCTTTTCTGTGCGCTAAAGCCACTCTGCAGTTCCTCGTTTTGTGATCCTGTGGGTGACGATTTTAACAACAACAATAAAATGATAGAATGTGACACCAATGAGTTCATCTCAGAAAAAAAAAAAAAATGAGAGAGCGTATTGAGCAGGAAAAAAAAAAAGACGAAAAAAAAATGGGCTGAGCTAAATCTCGACCGACTGGCTGTCGTCGTCCTTACCCCAGTCGTTGGCCGACACGTCCCGGTTGCAGATCTCGTTGGCCAGCCGCTCGAAATACTCGGGCAGGTCGGCGTACTCGTCGCCGTAGGAGATGACCTTGATGCCCTTGTCCAGCATGTTGTCGCGCAGCTTCTTGAACTCGCCCACGTCCTCCCGCCGCACCAGCATGAAGTGCTCCAGGTCCGACTTGTGCTTGACCGCCTCCAGGAACAAGGCCTGGAAGGTGGTGTCGTCCACCGTGCGCCCGCAGCCCAGGAACACGAAGGACTTGGTCTCGTACAGCTTCTGGATCTCTCGCTGTGGAAAAGGAACAAAAAAACAAAACATTATTTTGGGATGATCCTGGCAGAAGGGCTGCGGTTTGGCGTGAGCTTGTCGGTGGGTGGGAGGACTCACCATGACCTCGGTGTTCCTGAGTACATTCTGGTAGCCGGCAGGGTGCAGGACGATGCCGCTGGGGTTGGTGTAGACGCCGTGGATGTGCAAAACACTTAACCGCCGCTTCTCCTGAGCCCACTCCAGCACCTGAACACACACACACACACCACAGTTACACACTCCACTGCACAAAATCCTGTTCAGGCTGGGCCGGGCCGGCCGGCGGCGAGAGGATGTCAGCCCTGATGGAGACGAGGCATAAATACCAGCACCGACAGGCAGGCCAACATGTCTCTCTCAGATCAGCTCACCCAGATTTGGGCTCCAGTTAAACATTAAATTAAGCGGAAACATAAAAAAAAAAAAAAACAGAACTAGGCCCACAAGGTTCCACGCGTGGCCTTTTAAAGCAAACAGCAGTTATTGTTCGCTCCGTGACATTTCCTCTATCTTTTATCTGGGTTTTTCCTAAACCGGTAAACAGGGAACTTTACTGACAGCGTGTTTACTGACAGCCAGGTCAGCACGAGCAGCCCTCCTTCAAGAGGGCCGGCAGAGGGAGGGAGCGCCGTCCAGTAAAGCCGGAGAACGAGGAACAACCGGTATTGATCAAGAGTTTACCGCTACAGTTTATCACCGGCACACGCTTCAGTGACCTTTGGGCTTGTTTGGAGAGAAGGAAAGAGGAGGAGAAGCAGAGAGCACGCAGTCAGTCCTGTTTTTACCTTCTTTTCGTCCGTCAGGTCCAGAGACTCCAGCTTGGTGCCCTGATGGGCGGCGTAGATCTCCAGGAGGTTGTCGAAGTTGGTGGTGAGCACCAGGGCGCCGCTCTCCATCAGCTGCAGCACGGAGCGCAGCAGGTGCTTGCCCGCGTGCTCCATCTTGCACTCCAGGTCGTCGAACACCTCGTACAGGCAGTCTTTGAAGAAGGTGGAGCGCACGTTTCCCGTCCGCTGTGCGGCGGAGACAAAGAAACAAACAAACAAAGAAAAAAAACAGAATCGTATTGTGATGACGGTATGTTTCAATTACATTAGTGCAGGCAATTATGGAAAACATGGGAAAATATTGAAGAATTATTATTCTATCGAGTTACAACGTGGGAAGCTGTTTGACCACAAGTGCATGGAATCACTGTACTATCTGCCATGGCCAAAAAAAAAAAAAAAGACGAAGAAAATGGATGCATATGTTTTTTAATATCTCCATGAATCTATAGGCCAATGGTCCAGTGACCCCACTTGGGCTACTACTTGGGCCAAAATTGAATATGGACCAATTGTTGGAATGAATTAAAAGCAGTAAAGTGCAAGTTCCTCTAAAAAAGTGTGTGAGTGAAGTTCCCTGTTCACGCCTGGTTCACCCTCTGAGGATGAGGCCAGCTCTTCTCCACAGCTGAACCTAAGCCCGCTCCATATGCTGAGTTTGAGTTAAACAAAAAAAAAAAAAAAAAAAAGAGAGGGAAAGGCAGGTGGCTAAGAATAGCAAAAGCTCGGGCAAAGATGCAGTGACCACTGTGATCCTGGATCCGAGGAAATGCGTGGAAGACTTGGGGGGTGATTACGGCTCTAATGGGCTAAGCAGCGGGTTGCCTTTCCACAGGAAGAAGCTCATTATCCACGTCTAGTGTCCACAGCAGCGCCCATCCTGATCACCGTGTCCTTGAACCGGTTCACAAGTTATGTAATAACCAAGTCAAGCACAAGTAAACAACTAAACAGCCATCTTAAACTGCTAATGGGGGGAGGGAGGGATGTATTTTACATGAATACATTGAACAGCATGTTCCCTGAATGGCTGAAAGTACAATAAAGGGCTGTAGATGTAGGGAACTTTCTAGCTCTTTTTAGCAAGACACGCAATGCTTTGAGCAGGCGTTAAACAGACAGAAACAAGAGGATGACTGAAAGCTGCCTCTCCTCCTTCGCCTTGACTAACGACAGTCTGTTCACGTGCAAAAAAAAAGAAAAAGAAACGCTTCGACCGTTGTCACGGGTTAGTAGATTCATGAGAAAAGCAGTTTCTCTGGGGCTTTCGCTTCAGATTACCCTCATTACTTCAGCCATCCAGACAAAAGTGACCCTGCTGATATGCAAATCCAGGAAAGTGGGTTAAACTTCTCTCAGCCGAGCGTTCCTGGCATTAACCGGCCAAATGGCAGGTGTCGCACACCCTTGTGCATATTACAATTCCCGAGGAGCCTAAATTTGACAAATAAAAAGAGGAAATGGATCGGGACACAGTTATTAGAGGATTGGTGATTAAATCCATTTCCATCAGGTTTCCATTAACTAACAAGGCCAATACGACACCTTTTGTAGGGCCACATACAAGTTCTGAGTCAGACTCATTCTGAGTACTGCTGTACGCTGGAGGTACTGGCCATGTTGTTTTAATAAGACACAAGTGTCTGCTCTAAGTGGAGAATAAACGTAAGAAAAAAAAACTATTACTGCGGTGGGCACCCATAACGATACAAATGCATGAAACTCTTCCTAATGAACAACCGTCTAAGAAAATGGTCAGATTTCCTATGTGGTTCTCGGTTGAAAACGGCCGGTCAGTCCAAATATTTGCATCTTTTTTCAGGGTGTTTCAAGCAACAGCTGAGGTTGCTCCCATTTCCCTTAATGCGTATCAACTATGTAGAGTCCTTGAGTAAAGGTTTTTGCTTTCTTTTTCAAACTATTTGCGATATACTTTTTGCCTGTTTTGACTGTTTTTATGCATTCATAACTTGTAAAGGCGAGCTAAAAAGAGCAACGCACACCCAGCGCCTGTCCTCAGCCAAACAAGAGGAAGTGGTCGCGTGCGTGTTTTGTGAATGGACACTGCATGACTACATCCTCACTGTGCTTAGATGGAGCTTTAATACTGAATGAATAACCTGATGTGGGGGAAGGGGGGTGAGTCTGGTTCACATTATTCCACACTTGTTTTTTTGTTTTTGTTTGTTTTGTTTCCTCGTACCTGCTGTGTCTGTGGCCAATGGGAGTGAAATAAACACGGCGGGTAGATCCATAAAAGCGCTGTTTGTTCCCTTTGTTACCATGGGCTGGGGGCTGAAACAAAGCCTGTTTTATCAATGTCAAAGGTGCGATGAGACATGACTAACACAGGAGGCAAACGGCACTAAGACTCCCATCTGCCAGCTCTGCTCCAGACCAGACTGGTTCAGTAGTAGGAGCACTCAGTCATGTATAAACCCCCCCCCCCCACACACACACACCTTTTACATAGTGCTGGTGACATGGCAGAGTTTTTTCAAAAAGGTTTTTAGTAACCTAGTTTTACTAATTTACTATGAGTAAATACATTTTTCCCATCCCTAATCTTCAAGATTTCTTTGATTCTGATGTACTGAGTCGTTTACCCCATCAATGCTGCTCTCACACTCCCCTTTGTCACAAGGTGTAAAAGTCTATTGTCGATGTAGCTTCAAGGCTAAATCCAGAATATCTGCCTCGGCTGAATAAGTCTCTTTATTTCATATACACACAAACCAGTTCATTCAGAGATGGGCAGCGTTATGAAGCAAAAGTTAGGGGCAACGCGACGGATCCTTAACTCCTCTATGACACCAGAGGGCTCATAAATCTGAATCCGAATTTGTCTTATGATTTCTGGGTGGAAGCTGTAATGATGTGCTGGGCCAGTTCCAGTCCAATCTTAAACATCTTTGTTATCTTAAAACAAAGAGGACAAATATAGCCTGGCTTGTAATGAGATAAGGTTAAGATGACTTAGAGTAGACAAAATGTCTTAGGCAAAGGAAGGGAGAGTCTGTCCAGCATGTGTTTCCGTATGTATGAGGAGAGCGTTTCAGAAAAGGAAAGAAAAGAGGGAAAGAGGGAAAGAGGGAGAGTGGGGAGAGGCTCAGACAGTCTTACCGGGGAAAGTTTCTGAATGAGGTCATGAGCCACATGCACCAGATTCTTGTCTTCCTGCATGTGCTTCTGGAAGCGCCGGCTCTCCTCCTCCTCCAGCAGGTCGAAGTCGTTGGCCGCGTCGAGCAGGGCCTGGATGAGGCCCTTCCACGAGCGCAGAGCGGGGACCTGAGGGGCCACCGCCGAGCTCACCCCAGTCCCGATCACCAGGACGAGCTCGGGAGCTCGCTTGGTCTTCAGGCTGGGGAGCAGTTTCCTTTGGGGCAGGCAGAGATTGAGTGACGACGGTTCCAAAGACGGAGCTGTCCAAATCCTTGCGACAGCATGAAGGTTAAACAAAACGTTTTCAAGCATGCTCGCATGCAGTGTGAAAAAAAAACACAGAAAACTTTACGCCTAAACTTACAAATTAGAAATAAAAAGGAGATCTGTCTGCAAAATTGCTGAGTGAGCAACAGGCAGTTTCTAACTGGCTCAGTGCTTCGTCTGAGCTCACCTGGGCTTTTTGGCGTTGGAGTCTGCATCCTGAGAATCAACTGCAGGTCGTTTCTCAGTTTTCACCACCACAACGGAGGCCATTCAGCTCCTGAGGACAGACACATTAGCCACCACGAGCTCTGAGAGGTTTTTTCCCCCACAGTCATCCCAAACGCAGAGCTTGTATCGGTGTGCTCATCTGTAATCTTATCCCTTATCACTTAAGGAGGAAAACCACCGAGTTGCTTGCTGGCCTTTGTCTTACACGGCACTGTGAGCTCAACCTGCAGGAAACATCTCACTCACTTCCTTCCAGGCAAACACACCTTACCTGATGACACACGCCGATCGGTATCAAGCAACACCTTGAAAAATATCAACGGAGTGACTGTTTTCCCTCATTTCTGAACTATAAATTAACAAGAGACCCCCTTTTATTCTATCACTAGAGTTATAACACTCAACAGATAGCAGGTTTGTGTAATTTAACCCCCCCTGCTGACATATATTACTCTTGTTTACTTACCTTGACACAGGTATTGTAATATCCAATGTTTACTTCCGCTGATGTGGGTCTCCTTCGATCTTTTAAGACGACGAAATTCAATCTTGTTTGTATTCGGGTTACTGTAAATAGTTTGGCAATCCAGTAAATTTAGTCTTGGTAAAAAAAATAAAAAATCTTTGGATGGTGGACGACAAGTGAACGTCAGCGGCTGAACCGACAGTGAATAAGCAAAGACAGACTAACAGACAAAGCTCAGCCTACGCGCACACAGCTAGCTTCCCCCCGGTTACCGTTTGTTTAAAACTTTAAGCTAACTTGCGGTTGTTAAGGCTGCTCTTACGGTATAGCCCGTAACACCGGCTTTCCGTTATTAATTTGGTCTTTTAAGCGAACATGATGTGGTTTACTTTCTCCTGAGAACCGTTACACACCAAAAGAAAAAGGGCTCCCGGCTCCAGCTGCTGTTACATAGTCATTCAACGTGTCGTCCTGTCCGTGTGGAAGTTCTGACAAACTGTTGAAGTCGCCGCCTGCAGTGATTGAAGCCGGGTTTTATGATGCCTTCAGGTGCTGTACGAATAGCTGCTTTTGTCGTCCAGCATGGTAAATTAGGCTTTGCAGCCTGCAGATAACGGACCTTTCGAACAATCAGTCGTTTTTTATCATTATCAATATTCAGGGAAAATCTGACACTTCGCTAAAAAAAGAAGCATAAACTTGTGTAAACCAGCAAACCTATTGACATTGCAGACGGTGAGGGTTCGGATGTTATGAAACGGCGTATTGTTCATTTGCAGTACGCACGCACATGTGGCCATCAACCCCCCTCCTCTCCTCTACTTTATTATATAAAACTCCAATACAAGCATGTTTAACTTAAAAACATAATGGAAAAGTTCATATTTACAAAGAGCATGTGAAGCAGCAGGAGCCCGACCTTTTATGGCTGTGACACAAACTGTTATGTGCATCATAAAGCGATGTTTACTCCGTCAGGAATGTCCACACAGATGATATATTTTCGATGCAATGTATTTCATTTTAGAGACAAAGTTGTACTCTTTTGTGTTATTTTATATCTATATTTACTTGCACCGGCATAATTCAGACAAAGGGATGAATATGTGATGTTCAAACTCAATCGCTCAGTTTTTGTCCTTTGTATCGTGTTAAAATAACTCAAACTTCCAAGCAGAGTTGGCTCCTTTTTTCAGTTGACTAAAATGTCTGAGAGTTATTAAAAGTTTTGGTTTGGGATGACAAACAAAAAAACAGCACACTTTTTCCCAGATGGTCCGTTTCCTACCAGCAACATACACGTTGCTTCCTCTTTTTTCCTCGTTTTTCTGGCCTGGACTGGAACACGTCAGCAGATGCCTCTGCCGTGAAGCCACTGGGAGACTGCCATCTTCTGTTCGAGATACAAAAGCAAACTTGAATTCCTGTTTAAACCGTATCGTTTGTCAACTGTAGGAAAATAAGGATAAGAGGAAGACATCGACAGCAATACATAATTGGATTTCACTATGGACATTTGTAAAGATAGTTTATAAAGAAAGCAGGCATGGGGACTTAGATGGACCCCACAACTAAGTCTCATGTCATTTTTATTTGTATACCCCCCCCAAAAAAGAAAAAAATTAAAACACTGTGATCCCCTACTGTGTCCTCTTACAATTAATTTCTAAAAATGTTTCCAAAGTTTTAGGTACAGTATATTTAAGGCAGATCATGAAGGACAGGCTCTTGTGTGTCTCAGTTGTGACAGTAAGTGTTCTGCTGACATAAGGAGTAATTCTAAACGATATAAATTATGCAGAGTCCTGTGGAGTGGCACTCAGGTTAGCGGCTAGAGTTGTAACCCCGAAAAACGTGAACTATGTTAAAAAGGTCTGATGTCAGTATAATAGATCTAAGGACCATATTTTACTTTTAAAGTCTTAAATTGTGTAACACAGAACATTACTGTCAATGCCTTACACTGGTAAAGGAAAAACTATTATCATTACATACAAGTCATTATCAAATCAACTTTAATTCATGACTGAATCACCAGATACATGTATTCTATACACAGAAGTGTATTTCAAGATACAATCAAACGAGAAAAAGGCATTACCATTTGCCAGTTGTCAACATTCAAAGAAATCTTCCATTCCAAAAAGATATTATCTCCAATCAGTAAATACAGAAAATTACAGTTCTAAGATTTTCAGAGTCCAAGTAAAAGGCTTTAGGTTCATGTCGGATCAGGGGTGGAAAAAAGGCATACTGGTCACATCTGATAACTTAAATCAATGATCTTTCTCCCTCACGAGTGATCCAAGTCATCACGTTGTTTGCAAAGCTTTTAAAAGGCTGTTTAAAGGTCAAACAAACAGTCCCTAAACTGAGCGGGGTTAAGGTTAGCACCCGCTCATTCCCTTTTCAAATGTAGCAGCTGTTCTCCTAAAAGTATCACAACCTGAACCTGAGAGTAGCAGGATGCACAATAAAAGTTTTAGCTCCCAAGCTGGCAGGTCTGGAGCTGGTACTTGTGACTGATGTACGCATAGTGTGTTTCCCTTTCTAGTCTGATGAAGGAGACGTTAACTGTGATTAATAGGCAGTGGGCTGTAAAGCGATTTGTCTTCTTACAGTGAAGTATGGCTTTCAGGGCACAGAGGACTAGCAGAGGTCTAAACAGGCTGGGGCTGTACCGTTATTGTTGCACAAAAGAACACGCAGGGGGCCGACATTAAAGGAAAAAGACAGCACAGTTGTTGTAGATACACAGCAGCTCTAAACAGAGATGGAGCCCTCTCTGAAGTTGGTTTTTCCAATCAGGACATTGAGAAGCGTAGCTTTGCCCTGTTTGGTCTCCTCCTGGGCCTGCTTGATCATGTCGCTTAGCCGGCCCTCATCTTCCCGTCCCACGAGGTAGCCCTTACCACCATAACCGTCTGCCACCGTGTGATAATCTGCAAACAAACAACCGGCAAACACATGCAGCCATTTGGTAAGGAATGAGAAACCCATTCTTTAATTCAGAGAATAGTGTACAAATAAGGTTTGTTAGAGGTAGGATAAGGACGATGTTGGTAAAGCAGAAGACCCACCTGAAAATGAAAGGCCACATGCAACGTTGCTGCCCAGGATGGGAACTTGCTCTCTGGATATCTGGCTCCAGCATGCATCGTTTCCAACCACGGCTATAACTGGTGTCTGGACACCCACACACAAAAGAAAAATCTGTGAGCGGGGAAACAACCGATTCTCATCGACCCCCAAAACATTAGCCCAGTCCGCCATTTGGTGGACAGGTAACATCAGGAACATGTTTTTTTTCTGCATCAGTATGAGTGAACAACTGCAGGAAATCTTCCAATTGCCCAAAAGGCAGAGCTTGATTGCTGCCGGTGATTTCACAGCTGTTTAAGTGGAGTTTCAATAACCTTTAATAAAGCAAGCTCCTATGCCTGCATCCCTTTGGATAATTACAAAAGCGTTCCAGGCTGTGTGATCATTTGCGGACCGCCATCATCTCCGGTGTGTCTCAGGTGTCATGGGTGTATTTATAAATGAGTGATGCAAACACTGTGATTGATGACTTCACCTTGTGCCTCGTAAAGGTGTCAAACTCAGCCACGCTGTACCCTAAGGAGCCGTCCCCGTAGACTACCCACACCTGGAAAGCATGTGAAACATAACCTTATGATCAAAAGGATGAAAATCAAATGCTAGAAAAAATGTTAAAAACCGCCCTCAGCTGGCAATGGTATACCTCAGATTCGGGCCGGCACAGCTTGGCCCCGAGGGCAAAACCTCCTCCAACCCCCAGAGTGCCAAAGGCTCCTACAGCAAGAAGGAGCATAAAAGATAATTACGGTTAAAAAAAAATCACTAAATCAGACGGATGAATTGTGTCCCCTACAGGATCTCACCTGGATCTAGCCAACGCATGGGCCCCCTCGGTCTCATTATATAAGCAGCACTTCCTACAAAGTCCCCCCCATCTGCTACTATGATGCTGTCCTCAGACATCAGTTCATCCACACAATGGAGAACTTTCAGGGGATTTAAGTGCCGTTCCGTCTTCTCATCAGCTTTAGCCCTAAGACAAAAACTACTGTTATAAACTCTGCATTAACCAGAAGTTTAGCAGAAAACTCAACCTCCCCTGACCTGTTTGCATTTTCTTTGGTCAGATCTCCAGCTTTAAGGCTCTGAGGCCATTCCTCTGAACAGCGATGGCCTTTCAGCCCTTTGGAGAGGCGAACTAAAAACGAACCAGCATCGCCTGTAGACAGAAGAAAAAAACCCCACAGAGATTCTATCATTCCACACATATGTTCCATTGTCATCATGAAATAGAGGGTGAAACTGTTTTTCTATCTCAAACGTTGGCCATGTGAACAGTGAACGCACCCTGGATTGCCATGGTCGGTTTCCAGAACATATCAGAGTTTTTTAGCAGCTGGGACTTGTCCCTGTTGACAGCGATGATCTTGCTGCGTCTGTTGAGAACCCTGCCGTAGCTCAGCCTGAAGTCACACACGGTGCCTAAAACACAACAGTGGGGTTAACTTGGAGGGAGTTGTGGTTGGCATGAACCCTTTCCTATTAATCGGACTAATTCTTCACTTCTGTGGCTCTGTATTTCAACCGGAACAGAACAAAACACTGAACTCTCAAAATTCAGTCATGAAAGATATTATATCTACAATGACACAACAATTCAACGTAGAAAATAGGATCTCTCCCATGTTGTGGATATGATTAAGAGTAAAAACATAAAGGAATGCATCCAGCTTTACTGGCCTATTTAATCAAAATGGGAGCTTATTCACTAAATTCATTAGGATGGCGTTTTAAAGGTACAAAATTGGGGTTAATTTATTTAGCTACAATGTGACAATTTATTTAACCTTTATAAGGCTCGTTTGTGTAGAAATATTGTCTTTGGTAAAACTATGCCTGACCTGCTAAAAGAACCAAGTCAGCGTCCTTTAGAGCATCCCGTCTGTTCTGCCGGATGTGGATGGGGCTGTCTTTACCCAGCATGCCTCGGGACATCCCCCCAAGGAAGCAAGGTATACCCAGGTCCTCCAAAGCCTTTCTATAAAGCAGGAAAATTAATTTAAGCCACATGATGTGTTTTTTGTTATAATATTAAATGACAAAATAGGCTAAATCCTTGCTGGTGATCAAAGTAATATTAGCCCATGAGACTAGAGCCTAAAGTTCTGTTCAGACATGTCTGTAAGAAGCACCATTCTTCCACTGATACTTCTAGAGAATATCCAAGGCAACAAAAACATTCAAAAGCATTGAGTACGTCTCAGACAATGGAAGCAATTTGAAAGTGCTTGTCTGATGCTAAATCATAACTAAAATATCAACTGTAGGAAAATCAATAATCCAACAGTCATCTTAAAGGTAATTAAATGTGCTGCACTTACATGCTGATTGAAGGCTTAAGGTTTAATCAATTAATTGAAAGTTCATTCCATTTAGCCATATCTTTTCAGCACTTAATCTAATTAAATTTGGGTCCACAGTGGATCTTTACTCTTGGAAAAAAAGAAAACAAATGAAAAGGTAACAAAAAATAACATTTTGACAAAATGTTTGTGTTGAATTAACAATTTACGTTAATTTCTAGGCTCTTAACAGCTAGAAAGTGTTAAAAATCTGGAGTTACACAGCTGTATATCAAGAGAAAAAAGACTCTTTGCTTTCACAGTATGACAAACTTCATCATGGCAACCATCATTTAGTCGGTGTATTTCCATATGCTCACTTGCATATTCCTCTGGTGATTTACTAGAATAAAAAACAGTTTTTTATATCCACAATTAGGGTGTAAAGAGACTGACACATTTGAATGCCCCATTTTTAGCATCAATGTCTGTCTCCTTGACAGTTTTACTTTCCACCACAAAGAGGCGCCTTTAGGAAAAACTGTAACAGGTCAGAAGTGAACTGGATTTTACACCCCTAATTATCACTAAACAATGGCAAAACAAAGTGACGGACAAAAATAAAAGCTTATGTAACACATTGTCTCACCTGACATCATCAGCTGGCGTTGGTGGAAGGGTTGCTTGGCTGCCCAGAAGAATAACTGGTTTCTTGGCTCGACTCACCAGTTCTATGCACTTTTGTACCTGAGGCATATTGGGTGGAGGTAAAAGCAACAAAACCATAAAGCTGGTTTATATTTTTAATGTAATGTGGTATATACAACAAGGAAAATAATCTGATGTAGATACAAAGCAGAATTATTATTATGCCATTGAGAGTATTTAGGTAACATTAGAGGTTTGATCCTGAGAACTGTATCACCTGATCGTCTGTGGCTTGTGGGATGTGAACAGGAAGTGGAGAAACATCTCTGCTCTCCCAGGCTCCAGCAAAAATGTTCATTAGGTGGTTATTGAGGTACCTTACAAAGAAATCCAACCATTACTGAGACTGCAATTTTCAGTAATTGTGTGTGTGTTTCTTTCAAACACACACACACACACAACAACTTGATTCTGCTTCTTATATTGTACATTAACAAAGGAAAAATATGCATCCTGATAACATACCATGAGACAATGCTTCCCATCAGGCCTTTCGGAGGGTTCTTCACAGCAAACTCTTTGGAGACCAGATGGTATGGGTACAGCGTGTCGATGGGGAACTCTATGAAAACAGGACCAGGCGTTCCCGACTGAGCGATGGCCAGAGCCTTCCTGACCGTGGGCACGATCTCCCTGACCGTCCGGATGGAGGCGCAGAATTTACACAGCGGCTTGAAGAGGGACATCTGGTCGATGTCTTGTAGCGCTCCTCTGCCCTGCACCACAAGCAGCTCATTTGAAGAAGCAGCACAAACAGCGTCCGGGTCCAGCCAGACTCCTTCTCCTGACAGTTCCGTCTGCACATTCGCACTTTATTGACTCTAGCATTTGAACACAGCCCACCTGCAGCAGTGTGCTAGCAGCTCCTCCCATGAGCAGCAGCGGGGATTCAGCCATCTGAGCGTTCTTCACAGCCGTCACTGTGTTGGTCAGCCCGGGGCCAGCAGTCACCGCTGCTACTCCGACGGTACCTAGTGCGTAAGGAAAATCTAAACTTGTATGGGTCTTAAACAAAGGCACAGGTAAATACCCTTTTCTGAGACACGCCTTAACAGTGTGGCAACAGGCCTATATCCTGCAACTGCTGCTCAGCACTACCCAAAAAGTCAACTGTTTATGAATGGTGGGAGCGTGCACCTGAAAGCCTGGCCACAGCATCGGCGGCGAATACGGCGGTGGCCTCGTGTCTGGTGTCCACTATGCGGATGCCCACCTTTTCGCACGCCACGAGAATGGGGGAGATGTGTCCACCGACAAGGGTAAAAAGGAACTTGACGCCGTGTGCTCGGAGGACCTCTGCCACACTCTCACCACCATGTCTGGGGCTCTTTGTCTCCGTCTAAACCGAGCGAGGTGACATTAAAAGAAAAGACAAAAGAATATCCAACAGTTATTTCTAAGTTGCTTTGGAAGAACCAATATCTGTGTAAACTCTTAGATCATCATTTATGCTGTGAGGTCACACTGTCTTCACCCTGCAAGCCTTTCATACACCACAACAGAGGCATATTGTTCAGGCCTGTATTGCGGTTTTTTGAGATCTCATACACTATAAGAAGGTTTTGATGGTATTTGAGACAATAATGATATGGCTGGTCAAAGTTTACATAGATTAAGCCCAGCTAACAATATACCTGTGGCAGCTCAGAGACCACAGGTGGCTATATCATGGTCGGTTGCATATTATGGTGTCTTTACACAAGGCGAACTCTACAATGCAGGCAGACAAAGAATAGAACAAATAATAGGTTTCTATTTGGGTGTCGACTCGAAATCGCTTACCTTGTGAAACAACTGGTATAATACGCCAAGTTTGTAGGCAGCAAGCACCAGCCCACCCGCTGCTATGCCAGCAAAGCATCCCAGAGCAGTGCCAAGAGCTCCCAACGACTCCATGACGGGGTACAGAGGCAAAAGCTTATTTGTAAAACGATTAAAAGTTAGCAACACTTAATATTGCGAACCACTTAAGTTCAGTTCAGCAGCTCACTCTGTCAGGCTATGCTAAGATATCGTGGAGCTCGCACACAACTGCAGACCCATTTAAAAGTGCATTTTTTCACGTATATTCATTACACGACTGTTAATAATTTGTCAAATGAGATACGGTTAGAAGGGCATTATGTCGGCTCAAAAGACAAGTCAGAATGACCGAGAGCTCCTTCCGCAACAGCGGTGCCGACACAGGATATATCTCATTTGATTTTCAGGTAAAGCTAGCAGAACTGTACACCTCACTTCCGGAAACAATATTTCAGAGTAAAAGACAACCCAGACGCACACAATATAATAGCGTGCGTGTGACGCATGCAATATGATTCAGTCTATCTATTTTACCAGCACAGGCCGTGATAGTGTTTTTATTTGATCAAAAGTTAACAGATGCTGCCGTCAGAACTAGTGTGACAATAATTTACCTTTATTCTGAAGGTAATACACGGTTTCCTGTTTCTTCACGCTCCTCCGCAATGTTCAATGTGGCTATTTCAATGTTTTGCTGAGCTGTGCTGTGGAGTTCATGGAAAGGTAGCCTATTATCTAAATACTAGAGCGTCGTAAACGCAACGGACAAGTGTCTCGTCCAATGACAGACTTTGGTGGGTGTTTTACGCCGTTCATGGTTCAAAGTGTGTAATATCTAAGGAGAGTAAAGTTCATCCTGAAATGATACAAGAAGTCAAATCTCAAGGTTGAGTTGTGTTGGGTTTATAGTTCATATGAACAAGAAAAGGGAATCATCAGCCAAAAAGAAGACATGACACCAAAAAAACAATAGAATAGTGAAATATTGGTTATTTACATATTTCTTTTAAATAAGTAACTGTGGATCTCAGAAGCAATAAATGACCCCTCAGTGTGTGTAGCTACAAAGTGGGACAGGGCATTTCTTCACTATTTTCACAACAGTGTACAAAAGGGTAGTTTGTAAACATCAATAGTCTTTCCATGATCAGGATTTTCCACAAATTCTATTTTGCCATCCAATCTTTGTTCCTCAAAAACAATGATCTGAAAGAGAGAGGAAAAATGGAAAATCCCGCTTGAAAGGTTCACTACAAAAATGCACTTTGAACTCATCCCCAGTCAACTGTCACTGTGATTAATCACATGTGCAGTTTTTACAGATTATACCTGATTTTCTCCACTTCTGAGCCATGGTCCCGGGAGATAGAGGAAATCCTGTGGACCGATGAACCAGTAACGACCAAGGTTCTGCCCATTGACAAACACAACTCCTTTACCCCATCCCTGAGGACAAATACACTGTTGCGTTTAATAAAAAGACACTGAATAAAATACATTTAAAAAAGAAAATAAACAAATGACAGTTACATTGAGAAAAGCATGCCACAGTGGCATGATAAGCTTTCTAAACTGAAATCCGCAAATCTTTCTTAAAAAAAAAAAATCATGTACATAATATACAATTAATATATTATAATTTTAATTCTCCATTCCTTTTTTAATGCAGATTACCACACAAATCAATAAGATGCTGTATTTACAGGGAGTCTGATGAAGGTGTCTCTGGGGGGGCCGTCCACACACAGTCTGGCCTGGACAAAGGCTGGAACAGACAGCGACTTCCTGTCTGTTTTCCACTGACCTGAACACGCCAATCTAAAACAAGATCAACTTCTCTGTAAACGTCTTTGACTGCTTTTCAACATCATGGAGGCATTAGACGAGCATATATATGTACAGATCCAGATGTTAATCATTTGCTCGCATGACTAAAAAGCAAAATGCACAACAACACTATTAGTTACTTTGGAGGAATAGCTCTCATTATTTCAGTGATGCAAATGCCGATGCATCTCCTTAGGTAAAATGAAAAATGGTCGACTTAAATACCAGACCTTTTTAAAAAGCTTGGCTTCAGATCTAAACAGAAGATGATGAATCCTCTCAGGGGTGTGTGATTCAATTCGATGTCTCCCACAATACCTGTGACAAACAGCATGAGGCAACAGCATGCAGTGCAAAGTGGGGGTGCTTACAGCCAGAAAAAGCTTTTTCAAAGTTGTATGACTCAAAATGTGCAGTTCATATAGTTTATCCATTATTTCAAAGTTTCAAAAACGATTAAACTAGTTGTTAGAATAGTTCTGCTTCAACAGAGCAAAATTGCAGCGTCGTGACTAAACTGATGTTACATTAATCCCCAGCACATATTGTAGATTGCATGAATACCTTTGCGCTGTTCATTGAGAGCTTTCCCGTAATTCACTCTTCCACTATTCTCCACAAGTAAACTCAATGTCCTCTCTCCCTTCAGCAAACGAGAAAAAAGTCAGTTAAAACGTGTTTAAATCCCAACTGACATCTGTTAACATCACACAGAATTGAAAGCTTAGGAAAATTATGAGTGTTAGTATATGACCGTCTCAAGGCTGATATCTTGTTTCCAAGAAAATTTGTTTAGAACAGCAGTCAGCACAGAGAATGGGTGAAAATGGTCCGACATGTCAGACTGATTTGCCCCTTGAGAAAGTCTGCAGCCTTCAGGTGTTATTATGAAGGAACATAGCAGCAGTTCTTGAACAATTTGTAGTTTCTTTTTATTCTATGGCCCGATTTTAGAACTAAAGCTGTTCAAACCAATTTTCTTTAGCTTCATCAGAGGGTCAAATGTCGAACTGTGAAGACAGAAACTTTCACCTAGTTCTTGTGAAGTGTAAACTTGCACAACACCGACTAACAGTTTCTTACTTCTGACCTATGTTCTGTTATTAACACACCAACACTTCGCTAGAGCACCTTTGTCCCCCTGCAGTTGATTTTAGGATAAAACGTCTTTATCTTAGGAGTTGAAGACAGAAAACAGGAGGGGAGGAAACACAACCTTTCTAGAAACATTGCTGTTGGGTGCTGTTTTGCTTGTTGTCAACTACTTCACATTGTTACGGGTTAGAAAAAAAGTACTTGGTAAAGCTGAAAAAAAGAACAACTAAAAAACAATACAACATGATTGGGATCTTTTTTTTTTATTTAAAGCCATTTTCACAATTCACATGTATTCTATTTCATGACCACTAGATGTTGTCCTTTATCTTTGACGCTTGTAGAGATATATGCGTAGGGACTTAGTGCTTCATGATTTGAATGGAATTAAAACTGAATGTTACAAAACATAGTTAGGTCATTTGGGTGTTAGTTAGTACAAAGAATGAGAGACTCTTGATCACTAAAATTTCTTTCTTTACAGACATGTTGTAAACTATACAACATCTTATGCCTCGGCTCCAAACAATATGCAAATAACTCTTTTTTTACTCTTTTGGAGGGTTAGCAATCTTGCACTTTGATTGTCTGTGTTTTTAGACCTAAGAATAGTTTGTGTTAAGGAATGCATTTGGGAGGATGACATGCACACACAAAGCCACCAAGACTCATTACCTTGACATCAGGGAGCACAACTTCATGAGTCTTGTAATCCAAACAGCCAACTGACTGTCTGTCCACAAAAACCTAAAGAACATAACAGTCACAGCTGCAGTATTACGTTTTTCAAACTGTATTGGCGCACATCACTCGGCGTCCTCACCAGCGCTCTGTCTCTGATGTTGTTCCTGGAGTTCAGGACTCCTCCACTCCGGATGGTGGTCTCGTACAGAGTGTAACCATACGACTGCCCGTTGTTGTTGTTCACGGGGAGATTTTCCATGTTCACCGGCCTTTCTGACCGATACGGCTGATGGGTAGACACACATCGTTTAATTCATACGCAAAGCTGGGATATTAGTTTTTTTTAGCTGTCTCTTAAGACTGATTGCCACTTGTATCGCACCTTGACTGCAAAGTTCAAGCTGTCCCACAGGCACAGGTGCTGCTGCACGAAAACAGGCCCATAAGCCCTCCTCTCCTGAGGAGTGGGCACTTCAGGAAGAGGCTCAGCTGAAACACAAGTTGGTAAAAATAAATGTGAAAAATCAAGGCTAATGATCCCTCAATTAGTTAAGCTAGACAATGACGGCAGTAAAGTGGTTATAAAGTGTGTGTGGGTGAAGCATAAGGATGCTGAAGAGCCTCACAGTGATAGTGACTGAACAGATTCCTCAAGAGCTGGTATTTTGCCGTGCAGTCACCGGCTTCAGATAGCGGAGCATCATAATCTGCAGAGAAAAAAGTTTCCAAAACCAGCACAAAAGAATGGATTTGCGGCCGGAAACCACATTCATCCCATTCATTAAAGCCTCCGTCTCTGAGCTTTAAAGTTATATCTTTCATACCGTAACTTGTGACCTGAGGCTTGTAGGTTCCAAAGTCCAAGGCTCCGTTCATGAAGCCAAAGCTGGTTCCACCGTGAAACATGTACAGGTTGATGGACACACCTCTCTCCAGGATCTCAGAGACCACAGCCAGCATGTCTGTCAGAATTATGGCACATCACAAAAAAAAAATCGACAACTCTCTCTCATAGCAGCCCTCCCTAGCATATTTAGAAGTCTTTGCAGTCCAGCTGAACGGCTCAAATCTGCCAGAAATGGAGCCCTAAATTGTCCGCTGTGAATGTGATTGTGGGTAATGGGCAGATGGGAGAGTGGTTTTGGAAATAAATAAGGGGTCAGAAACAAACGCTGACTGGAAAGATGATGGCCGTGAAGTGTTTGGGTACCTTCTGCATGGAAGACATGATGATTCTCTCCCCAGACGTCGAACCATCCACACCAATACTCCATCACCATTAGAGGTTTGTCAGGCTGCAGGGAGCAGAGCACGCATGCATGTATGAAGCAAAAACGTTTTTATTTCATTGCTTCAGCAATCACTGCAGCTACTGCTCTTTATGAAAAATACAAAGCACGGTTTTAAGGGTTTTTTCCCCTTGTAATTTCAAGAGAGTTGGGTAGATAATTTGAAAACATGTCCCTTAACCATGTAATTCTCAGGAACATGAAATGTTTTTCCACTTAATTGTCTTCATTTCCTTTTATAGAAGTCAATGATTGGATGAAAAAGGTTTCTATGCTGCTTGAATAAATTGACTCCAGTTAAAAAGCACTATTAAGAGTAAAACACACTTCAAAATCGTACTTCTTTTTTAAAAAACAGCCTTTTCATACTGCAGTCATCACCAAGGACAAGACATTACCATCACTTACCTGCCTGTCGGCTAAGTGCTGTATAGCTCCAAACGACAGTCTCTGAAGATTTATTGTTTTAAGAACTGAAATTAGAAAAGGCAACCACTTAAAGACCACTCAGTGTGAAAAAGGAATTTAATATAAAAAAGCAAACAATACAAATAGTGCAATCTATTATTTTATCCCTCATCACATCTCTCTTACCTCCATCCATCCCTTCATATTTCAAACCTTCCCAGTTGTCTGATGTTAGCAAGAGCTCACTGACTCCTCTGGACTGGAGACACTTCAAGGAAAAATAGGTTCAAGCTGAATGGTTTCATTAAAACAAATACACTTTGCTGACAAAACAGGCAATAAATGGACTCACGTTCTTTATAAATGGCATATATTTGTCATCTTTAGCGTACGATCCATACTCGTTCTCAACTTGGACCGCGATGATTGGGCCTCCCTCTGCAAACTAAGGGGCATGTGGTAGCTCAGTGAGGGGTCTGACTATTCTTTCAGTAAAAGAAAACAAAGTTCGGGATTTACCATCAGAGGTTTTACAACTGTGATGAGCTTGTCAAAGTACAAGTTGACGGCATCTACATATCCAGGATATGTCGTCCTCAATTGCATGTCTTTATCCTGCAATAACCAGCTTATAAGAAAAAAAAAAACGGGAAAAAAACATGAGAACAACTCCGGTGCCATCGTGCCTATTCACATCAGTCTAAATTAATCCTCCTTCTCATCAAGAAGAGGTATTTCTAAGAAATCTTAAAAAGTTGTAACAGTTTGGGTTCATCTTAATTGTGTCCTGTCCAGTGTCCTTATTTTCATCTTCTTTTTTTTAAAATTCACTCCTTTATTAAGTTCTAGTTTTGATTACGGTTTTGAGTCGGCACCTGTTTTGCATTATCATTGCATTATTTGACTATGCCGATGATTATACCTGGCTGTAAACAGTTACAGCTCACTCTGCATATGCACCCCCGCATTTCTGTTGTACTCGGTCAGACTGTCCATTGTGACGAACTCCTCGCCTTCTGATTCTCCTGGTTTCAATGTGATTGCATTACCTCTGCCTGCCTTTTTGCTTATGCACAAAGACGACATCGAAGACAGCAGCACAAAAATGTCTCCAAAAAGAAATACGTGGAGGACGTTACCTTGGCAACCCGCCTAAATCCCATTCGGCACAGATGTAAGGCCCAGGGCGCAAGATCACCCAGAGACCCATCTCTGCGGCTAAACTGATAAAGGCCCTGCAAAAGACACGGACATGTTCTGTTGCCTCTGAAAATAACTATTCCTCCGTAATCTGTCATTCAGAAGTTAACTTATTCGTCAGAAAATAGTGACGTATAGTATATGGGGACTTTACTTGAGGTCTAGCTGATCCTGAAAGTTGAATGTTCCTCTTTCAGGTTCGTGCAGGTTCCAAGGCACATATCTAGGAAAAGCAGTATTTCCACTGATGTTATGTAACAACCTCGTGTGTTAAGATTTTTAAGTTTGTTTTCATCTTGAAAATGAACCTTTTGATTTAAGATGAAATCTTAGAATGAAGTAAAAGCCTACGTTGTGAGGGTATTAAGACCACAGGCCTTCATCTTCAGCAAGCGGTCCCTCCAGTAGGGTCTGGGGACACGGAAGTAATGGACAGAGCCTCCCAGGATACGGAAGGGCTCTCCCGCGAGTGTGAACTGAGGTGACTCAGCCTTTAAACCCTCCAGGCGTTGCATTGTCCTCGCTTTAAGCTGAAATTTGGTGGAACAAGAATAGCAACACAGCATGAGACAGAAGAAAATATCTGAGTAGGCCGTTCTGTGCGTGTTCCAAAGAGGTGATCAAATTCAGAACGGTTAGAAATGGCATTCATTCTGTCAAAATGGCACAAAAGTAACTAATTATGTGTCTAAATGAATAGCAATATGAACATAGATATAAAAAGAAAGACACAAAGACTTTAAGAGAGCATGCCAGAATTGAGAATCTTACCAAGCCTTAGCATGAATTTCCAAAATGTTGGAGAAAGTCCAAGTTCCACCAAAAACACACTGTCACTCTGTGCCTTGATGCTGTGCTTACCAGAGCAATTGAGGGTCAGATGATAATGGGAGGGCTCAAACATTACGGATAAGGGAAACTATTGTCGTTTCAAACAACAGGGAAACAGTGCTCTCTCTCTCACAGTCAGAAAATGGAGGCATTATATTGTACACTGGTATGTTGCCACAACAATAGTTTTCAGAAAGAGATGCACCAATGTCCACCTGTGGCTTTAACGGTAGCAATACCACAGAAAATAAGACAACATAGCCGGAAGTCATTGTGCAAAAAAGCCGCATTATCTTTTACATGTACTTGTTCAGACATTTTGTCAACGATGGAAGTCTGACTTGTTATACGATTTTGTGTGGGAGCAGATAAACCTTATGAGAGAAAGAAACCAATTTATTTTCAGACATGACTGGATATACAATGTCTTACTGTTTATTTAAAGCTCAACAAACCAACTGTTGGATAGAGTTTTATTTCTAGTTGGAATGCATTGGCATGGAGGTTGACAGATGACTGATACATTTAGGGAAAATCCTGTTTTTCTTTTGCAATTCACTAGGTTTTGTGGACAGTTAAGATAAAAGTGAGTTACCACAGAGGTAAAAAAAAATCCGAAATCAATCTATACTTTATAGGTAAGCTATCACAAAAAAAACTAAAAACTTTTAAAAATAAATATTCGCTATATAGAGGGCTCGCGCACACAAGAATTGGGCGTCTCGTGCTTTGACATTTGGAGTGGCGTGCCTCTGAAAATAGTGGCTTTGTTAGAATAAAGTTTAGATACAAGCGACTATTAGCGTTACCTCTAGCCGTTTGTTTAATTATTTACTCGGGAAGTACGAAATCCCTGCGTGCCTTAGCCTACATGTACCAGCGTTATCATGACTACTAAAAGTGAACGTAATGCTTTGACCGTCGGGTTAGGTGACGGAGTGGTTCGGTCGGTTCAACAGGCTAAGCAGAGGTTTTCGGAAGAGGACTGAAAGAGGACCAGTCGCCCGACATGTTCTCTTCACTTCGCTGAAAGTCAAGAAAACGCACACAAGGGAGCAGCTGCCGTTTAAAGTGGTGCTGTCAGCCGCCAATGGAAAAGTCTTGGGTGTGCGGCGTCCGCCTGTCGTTAAAGCAGCGCTACTTTCTGCTTCTCTGCCTGGCCGGCGCCTTCATTATTGCCTATCAATTTACGAGGTAAGCCACACGTCTTGTGTCTACCAAGTAGTTCTCCGAGAAAAAAGCCACGCGTGGGGATGAATTTCAGGGTGAACCCCGCCCACAAGCACTCGAACTTATTACACTTTGGAGCTGCTATACGCTCCTGCCCCCTTTTTTCTCCCCCGCACGTATTTTCCCGATTACAACTTTTCGTGAACTTTAATCTGGTTCACTCCGTGGCAGACGCTTGAGACGATCACGTAACCGGTCGTGTTATTTCTCACCGACTGGCGAGATTCAGATCACCAAGGCTTACTTGATCGTCCCAAACAGATCGGAAGATCAAGTTAGTTTGGTGTCGGTTCTGCTGAGTTATGGAGGCTTTTAAAAGAGAGCTGTGTGGCCTCTTTAAACTGACCACCCCTTAAGTAAACATCCCCCAGGAGACCCAGCATTAGCCCAAGGGTGTGGTTTTCCCTTAATGATTGATACAAAGGGATAGATAAGGCATGATAAAAAGCACATATGATCACCCTCTTTTCCACAGTGATTCAGAGGAAAATTTCTGTGCAGGTACCAGTTAACTCAATCGGAGCTCAGAGAAATTGAGTACACCTCAAAAGCTCCAAATCCTCTTTTATTGCTTGAATAATTGAGTACTTTCTTTCCTTTCATTGTGTTTTGCCCCTCAGAAACCGTCCTGAAGAAAGAAGAATGATCCGTGTGGAGGGTCTGAGAGCTGACTCGGCTCAGTTCACTTTGGAGCAGAAACCTTTTCGCATCCTGGGCGGCTCTGTCCATTACTTCCGTGTCCCCAGGGCATACTGGGAGGACCGACTGAAGAAGATGAAGGCCTGTGGCCTCAACACTCTCACAACGTATGTTCTCAGTGTAACTGACTGCTGGTTGAAAGAACACCAGAGTATGGAAGTGTCTATTGGGGGTTATTCACTAGTAACTGCTCAGCAGAACTCAACCGGTCTCTGCTCAGTTTATTTATTTTTTGTATTTCTATATGGGGCATAAGACAATTTTACCACCTACTCAGCCAGGGATTCAAGCAGGCTGAGTCAGACGGCCGGATGTTGATTGGCTGCGGAGTCACATGACTTTACAATCGACTCTTTCACATGAGTCCAGCCTATTTTAAAAACACAGCAAAAACAAACCTCCGATTTCATCATTTCTGTGTTCATCAATGTTGTAAATGCCTAATACTGGAGCCAACACCACAGTGTAGCTGATGTAACATCGCCACGATGGCCTGTGTCGCGCTTAAAATTACATTACATGCCATTTGCCCTCTTCTGTCTGTTAATACCTTCCTTTTAATGCAACACCATCTAAACCGAGCCATGGTAAAGCAAGCATAGTTGAGAAGGGCCGTGTCGGAACTAATGGAAACCCTGAAAGAGAGCAATTCTGACCTGAGCTAGCCAAAGCAGAGCTGGCAATATTGACCTATCTCATTGAGAAGAAATCTGAGGGATGGAAATGAAAAAACAAGAGAAGCAAATTAATTATAGAAAGGGGCTATGAATGGAAAAACCTATGGCAAACATAATAATCTGTGATCATATTTTCTTTTCAGCTACGTTCCATGGAACCTGCATGAGCCAGAGAAAGGGTTGTTTGACTTTGAGGATCAGCTGGATTTAGAGTAAGAACTGAAAAGGCCTCCCCCTGAGATTCAGCTGCAAAGCAGAAAAACAACTGCAGAGGGCAGTGCTGTTTTGCTAATAAAGTAGTTTGCCTTTCATTCAGTGGTATTGCTGCATAAAGCTGCACGTTCTCTTTGAGGGAATGCTTTTAGCTAATTGCTCATCTGTTTTCTGAACTGATATTGTGTGTTTCTTATTGCTTGATGTGAGAGTAATAGTACAAGCATATATACAAATAAATTCTATTTTATTTTTTTAAATGACAAAACTTAGGGATATTTATTTATGTGCTATTCTGTGTCTCAGTGTTGTAAATGACTGGAGTAACACAATTTTCATACTGCATCCTCTCCCAGAGCCTACCTGCGTCTTGCAGCCAGCTTGGACCTTTGGGTGATTCTCCGTCCAGGGCCCTACATCTGTGCTGAGTGGGATTTAGGTGGACTACCCAGGTACCAAAAAAATAAACATTGATCTACACTTAAAAGTGACATATTTGGATTTTCTGATTTAAGAAATAAAAAAGAATAATTGTAACAATGTAACACATTAAAATAATAGCAGCCGGAGGCTACAAAGCAATCCTTGTTGTTGAGCTGGAAATAGATTGTTTCGTCAAGGAATCACTCAGAAAGCGTCTTCTCAAATAATTTAATCTCGGACGTCAGTGAATTAAGGGTAAATTTCAGCCGCTACGTTCCTGTCCGTGAGGGATGGCTTTTGATGGTCCGCCTTACAGGATATTACACGCAATCCAACGTGCGCAAATCAAGACACGTCAAAAGTAGTGAGCAATGAAGTGCATGTTAGTTTACCTCCGGTGCTCCTCTGAAAAAAGTCACAGAGGACTTTTAGTGGGAGCAGTAATTATATCTGACAGGTGCAGATCCATTTTCGGAATGAATTCATTCACCTCTGTAATGAAAACAAATCAAGACAGATAATCAGGTAATTATCTGCAGAAAAAAGGACTTGGGGGAAGGTATGTTTGGAGTGTCTTTGGGGACCATGAGGTTGAGGTTGTGTTTACTTAATTATCATTGAAATGAAGCATTTAAAGAATCACACGGTGACGCATCTCCTCCTCTCAGGTGTAAAACCGGGCCTAGGTCGGCGCTTTTGCTTTCACAGTGAAATGGATTTAGAGGGGAGTAGCTGACTTTGTTTGGTTTTTCAGCTGGCTTCTACGAGATCCCAAAATGAAATTGAGAACCACCTATCCAGGATTCACCAAAGCAGTCAATTCCTTCTTCGATAACCTCATAAAGAAAGTTGTTCCTTACCAGGTACTCTTCGTATTATTATTATTTATCTGTTCAAAGATTTTCATAAAGGCTTGATAATGGTACTTATACACCTATGGCATATTTAGGCTGAGACAATCTCTCTATTGGAAGCCCACTGTTCGTCCTGTAGTTGCTGCTTTTCTGTTGAATCAGGAAAAACATTTGATACAGATGTGTGGCCTGTCACTGCTACACTTGACTTTCTCTGCATTTTTTAAATGCTATTGATTTAAATTACCTATACTTCTAATTAACATTTTTATTGCCTTATCACAATTGGACACCCAGTCAATTCTGATATAGCCTATACTCTTTGTTTCATTGCTCATATATGTTTTTCCGCCTCTACCTCAGAAGATGGGCATTTTCTATCTCGGCCACAGGCATTCCTGCTCCCAATGAATCTGTTAATCCCTCTTGACCTCTTTTGGTGCCACTTGCCTCCCCCATAATGAAATGCTCCTGGCTGATATAGTTTATCAGTACTTACCCATCCTTCATCCTCCACCGCATCAGTCCCTTTTTTCTTTAGTTTGGCAGCTAACTAAAGGAGTTGCTGGCACTCGCGCTGCTAAACGATCACGTGATGCGTTATCAACATTTAATAATCTTATCTAAGATTTCAGATTTTTCTGTTATACTTATTTGAAAAAGAAAGAGAAAAAGAGAAGCAATGATAAGTTAATATACATGTGTGTATATATATATATATATATATACCGTATATATATATTTATATATAATTTCACACAGAACATAGACTGGTTTTCATAGCACACATTTTAACATATCTCAGGAATAATACAGGTGTGGTTTTAAAATCAGCGCACTGCATTTAGTTGAGGTAAATTACGGCTTTTTTCTCTGTCAAAGTCTACTTGTTGCCATGGCCGTCTGTGATCAAGAAATAGACTGAGCCATTGTTAAAAACATTTGCCCGATTTCAGCTATTTCACATGGTGACAAGTGAAATTGCTTCGAGAGATGACATCCAATCCATTTTTTTTTAGCTGTCAGAGTCTTCCGTGTTAGAGAGATGGCTAAAACAATTTTCCTTTAGAGCACTGACCTCAGTAGCCTACTTACAAATAAGAGAAGATTTCCAACAGAACAAGTCTTGTTACAAAATGTTATTGTGTGCATGGCAAAATTATTAATGCTGGTCAGATATGTTCAGAAGGGAGAACAAGAACAGGCTTCAATCCATGTGAATGGCTGCTTCCACTTTTAAAAATTAATTCAGAGAGTTTCTATATGTTTTTATAGATGAAAAAAATGTTTGAGTAGCTTCTGAATTGAGGAAAGCAGCATATAATCCTAAAAGTGTGTTGAGGAAATGCAGAGTTTGAGGATCCCTGATGAGGCTCCCTACTTACCCATAACGATGTTTTTGTTGACATCCATAATATATGGACAACACAGACAAGTGAAAGGGGAACAACAGTGGTCCAACAGAAAAGCCTTTGATGCCAAGACAGCATACGTAATTCTCCATGCTCATTACAGGGGCTCCATAAGAAGTCTGCGTGAAGTGTTGTGGTCTCAGGCGGCCCTATCGAGAATTTCAGGGCTGTAATGGTGTGAAAACGGTTCATGTGCTCATTGCTGCAGCTTCCGTTTTTGTTTTTTTTCTTCAGAACATTATTTGATTTTTATTCAGATCAGTGTGTGGTTGTTTTTTCTTTTCTAGTTTCACTGTTTGTTTGTTTTTTCAAGATTATTATTTGAAGAGTAGTAATGGTGAAGAATGGCTGCCAAACTATGTGTCCTGTTTTCATTGGTCAACAATGTGCAGTACTCCCATGGTGGCCCAATCATAGCAGTTCAAGTGGAGAATGAATATGGCTCCTATGCTAAAGATGAGGAGTACATGCCTTTCATCAAGGAGGTAAAGCAGCACATATATTTAAAGAAACTGAACTCTATACAGACTCTAGACGGACGTGGCCTCACTGTTTTCTTTTCTCCTCTCCATCTGTAGGCGTTACTGTCAAGGGGCATCGCAGAGCTGCTGGTGACCTCCGACAACAAAGATGGGCTAAAGCTCGGAGGCGTGAAAGGAGGTATTGTCAAATCGGCTGACAGACAAACAAGCCCGCACACAGACGCAGCTGAACTCACAAATATGCAGTGTGTTGCTTTCATGCACAGTGGTTAGAGGTCTCAGCCAAGGGCAACCCAGTGTCAGGCAGCTTCAGATCAGAACCATTTTGTACTCTGGACACAATACTGTTGTCCTTTCTTTTGTTGTACAATCAAATCATGCCTAGAATACAAATTTCCATTTAAACATAAGGCCAGTGCAGAGTTGTTTTCCTTACTAATTACTACTAATACTTACTTCTTCTCTGTAAATGTATCATTAAAATGATCATTATCAATGTACTAGCATTATTGGTATGATATAAAGGATGGGATCAGTAAGAACATTTTATGGGGAACCATTTTCTGGGAGTTCATTAATAATTAGATAAATAAATAAAAATTCTAATAATATAATGATAATAATAATGTCATTATGTTGTAAATTCATTTGGACCCACAAATTATTCTTGACATTATTCCATTTTTGTTTGTTAAGCACTGGAAACTATCAATTTTCAGAAACTGGACCTGAATGAAATCAAGTATCTTGATGGAATTCAAGTAAGTTCTGTTTGTATGCCTTTATATTTCTTAAACTGTTCATATGTGCAAAATAAAAATCAGGTTTCTTAACCTTGTTAACATGTCCAGAGGTTGTTTTTGTTATGGTTTAGGATTTCAGCTTAGTATCTCAGATCACCATCCACAGTCTGAGAAGGACGATATCAGACTGCTTTAAAGTTTAATGTAGGACATTGGAAGAGGAAATACTGACTCTCTGCACAATTGAGCAACACAGCCAATTCACCTGAGTAGTGAGGAGGTGATAAAACGAGAAGCTCCTGCTATCGAGATAATATTGCTGCTTGGCGTGTTCTGCTATTTTATGAAAACATTAAGCCATAAGTCAGATTTTCTGTCCAACCTTAAGAAAAAAAACTTTTAAATTCACCATGAATGAATTAAGTTAATTTGTAAACATTTAATGTTTTTATCATTTAGTGCATTTTGAAATCCGAGCAGAAGGACATTTGGACTCATAGTTGACACATAGTGTCAATGGGCTGATTTTTAAGTCGGAATTCTGTACTTTTAAGAAGTTTTGCAAACAAGAAAAAGAGTGGAACATTGTTGTTGTAACATTGATATTAACACCAAACCATTTTCCGCCTTAGCCTCAGAAACCTAAGATGGTGATGGAGTATTGGTCTGGCTGGTTCGACCTATGGGGCGGCCTTCATCACGTGTTCAGTGCTGAGGGTAAGATGTACTTGATTTAAGACCATCAACATACACCATGGGTTGCAGTGATTCACATGACAGTGAGATGGGATTTCTGGGGGTGGATTTTTTTTGTTTTGGTTGAAACAGCTTTTTTTTAAATTTATGCTGAAGGTCTATAGCACTGGCTAATTTTAGACAAGGGCATGATAACCTTAGTGCTAAACCTCTAAAGACTATCTGAAGGTAAAACAGACGAAGGTAAGATGGAGCCATAATGCCTTGGGGGAAAGAAAGTCTTTAGACAAACCTTTTTTTGCTGTGAATGAAATAATCTGTGTGCCAAGGGAAAGCCCGGGCAAGGGCAGACTCAATGCCTTGGGGGTTGTGTAAGATAAATACCTTAGGCTGAGCGTTCGACAGTCTGTAACATCAGGGTTCATTCACAAAAGACCCTGAGCCCACATAATGCAGCTAGAAAGTATATCTAGAAAATAGGTAGTTACTTATTTTGAGGCTTTGTCAAACGTTTATACATTTAAGAAGCGCAGTAAGTTATGAACCAAGCATCACACTCCAGTGTTGAGGATGCACCGGATGCAAGCTTGATCATTAGCAATATAGATAAGTGTCTAAAGACATTTAATGAGGGCAATAAATTATGGTGCACCACCAAATGAGCCAGGAACTAATGATTCAAATCCATTATTAATCTTGATAGTCTGATATAAATCTGCCACAAACAGAGCAGATGGTGGACATTTGAATTCAAGCACTGATCAGTTATCTCAGTAGACTTACACAATGAACACAAAGCACCTCTCTTAACGTACAGTTGTAGAATATATTAAATCGACGCAGCTGCGATTATAAGTGATACTTCAGTTAACAAACGCATTAAGTCATCCGCAGTGTAAGTGAATAGTGGGTGAAAACAAGATAGTGCATGTAAATTGGGGGGGGTGATGAACATAATCTGAGAAGATGTGTGCCTTCACAGTGTGAAGTAATCAAAGTTGCTCTGTAAATTAGCATCTATTTGTAATGGCTGTGGTGCAACCCCATCTTTTACCCTTTAACTACCACTATTGGGTCGATCGGTTTTCCTTGTGACAAATACAACCAGCAAATTGCACTTTGGATACATAAATGATTCTAAAGAACACCTTCCTGTCTTAACACAGACTTCTTCTGTTTTCTTAGCCTCAATTCTTAATTTCTTTGTGCCATTTGCATCACTCCTGCTTGAACAGCCAGGTTACTATCTGACACTTTGGTTATATATGTATTTTTTAATTTACAATGTCAACATATATACAACTGGCGAACTGTCCAGGGTGTACCCCGCCTCTCGCCCATTGACCATTGGGATAGGCTCCAGTTCTTCCCGCAACCCCATTAGGGAATAAGCGGTAACGATAATGGATGGATGGATGAACATATATACACTGGATTTAAGTCACTTTCCAATATTATAGCCTTTATTCATCATTTCTCATTCAAATGAGAAATGACAGCCACCTGCGCTGGAATGATTGCCTTAAGAGATATAGGCACACCTGGCTCCAAATATAGGGCAGTACATCAAACATTCTTTTCAGCTACATTTAATCCATCCACACCAAAACAACAACAACGCCACAAAAAAAAAAAAAAACACAAATTAAAAACATTCTGAAAACATAAAAAGGAACGTTTTTGCTTGCTAATGGCTTTTCTCTTCAGTGAGGATGGAAATAGGACAGTGTCACCATGCAGAAAGTGTCACGGCAATAAAAATGAATATTCAGAAGGGGTTCGTGCCCTTGACAGTTCAGTGCTCTGCAGAATACAGCTCGGCCCAGCAGTCGGTCACAGCCAGTGCCTGCGCCGCGTGTGGGCGGTGGGGGTAGGTGGGGGTGGTTGGGGTGGGGGAATGAGTCCAGCTCCGTCAGTCACTCCGTCCAATTGTTATTCAATAAGGCTGCTGCCCTTGATTCAAATAATTAAACCCTGTCCAATTTTACTACTGAAGTTCAATATGAATACGTAATCACTTGCCTCCTCCAATGCTCTCTGCAGAGTTTAAGGAACCCATTTATGTGAAGAGGTTGGCCTCTTTAATTGGTGGAAGAATTGGCCTATGATGATCTATAGCAGGGGTACCAAAAGTCGGTCCTCGAGGGCCGCTGTCCTGCAGGTTTTAGAAGTTTCCCTGCTTCAACACACCTGAATCTGGTCAGGGTGCCCTAATCTGGATTGTGCAGAGCCTTTGAACTGATCCACTTAATCAGAATCAGGTGTAAAGCGGGGAAACCTCTAAAACCTGCGGGATACTGGCCCTCGAGGACCGGAGTTGGAGACCCATGATCTATAGTTACCCATAAAGGGGCGTGTGGCAGATGAGTATCGTTTTACATGAAAGGATCTCCTTACTCTTTCTAACCTTTTTTTTGTTTTTTAACTTAAGCTTTATTTTTCTTTTAACACCTCGCATGACAACATAATGTAAAACATTGTTTTTCACTTTGACAGATATGATAACAGTCGTCAAGGAAGTTCTGAAGCTGGACATGTCCATCAACCTCTATATGTTCCACGGAGGGACCAATTTTGGATTCATGAGCGGTGCGTTCGCTGTTGGAATCCCAGCCCCTAAACCCATGGTGACAAGCTACGGTAAGTGTTTGCATGGCACCAGGGTGAGCATTTTATGTCAGTTGTAATAAAATATCCTTCAAATGAGAGGTGCACTCTTTTAATGGAGGAATGTCAAATGAAGTATCTTCAGAACTGTGGTTTCTATCCAAGGATGCAGAACTGAAACGTCTAAAGACATTATAGATGTAGAATTATGTGAACATGGGCGCAAGATATAAAATAAGCCCACGTTTGATATTTTCTGTCTGTTTATTTTGTTAGAAAGCAGCTACGTTGGAGACTTGTGTCCTTCTTTGATCAAAATGCAGGAAAATCCAAAACCCTGGTCCACCGTTCAACATGTATCCGGTCTTTTGAATGGCCTCTAAGTCTGAGAAATTATTAGTTATTACAAACATGACCATTTTGAATGAATCTATTACCTAATAGAATGCATGGGAATGTTAGATTAAAGAAGGCACATTGGGTTTTATATCTTCCCCTAGGATGCTTAACATTGTAATGACTTCATTCCTCAGAAAGGAGGAGAATTCTTAGTACGCCACCTCTGACCTTCAGCAGTCTTTATGTTTGTGTTTCTTCCTCTGAATGCCTTTTACCCTTTTGCCTCTGAAAGGCTCCATTTTTCTGTCGAGATAAAGCAAAATGTGTTTCAGCCCAATGCCGTCTGAAGATGTTTGATAGGGAGCGCAGAGAAAGCATCTGCCACAGTCAGAGGCATCCCTGCCTCTCTGCAGCTCCCGAGCCTGCTGTTCTGATAGCGCATTATCTTTCAGATTACGATGCTCCATTATCCGAGGCTGGGGATTACACCACCAAGTATCATCTTCTGAGGAATTTATTCAGCCAGTACCACAGTGAGTGTTGTATGTTGCTGCTGAGCCAGGCCTCGCATCTTGTTGTCCCCCCCCACCCCCTAAATATTCCCTGTTATCTCCCTACTTAAAGTTAATTCTCCTAGTATAACCTGTTCTCTGTTGGCTAATTTAGTATAACTTTGCATGTGATTACAAGCATGGATTAGATATTGGGAAGTGCGTGAAATGCCTGCCCCGATCAAAGATGCTTAGCCGCTGCCAGCGTGAGAACATTATTGTTTTTTCCAGTTTTGTGGTTGGGGGCAGAGGTCTCAAGTGTTTTGTGTTGAGGATTGGCTTCTAGCAAAGTGGGAATAAATCCAGCATAACAAAGTGGTATAATAATTTTCCTTTAAAAAAAATATTTTTACCAATTTAAAGATGGTTGGATTCATCTTAAAAGTCCGAAGGACAATGAGCAGTGGCCTGAATTGTAGCAAGCATGCGTGAGAATGCTTTGTGTTCCTCTCACCAACCACAAACACATGACCTAATTCTTTAATTAGATCAGCTTGATGTTTTATTATTGTTTGGTTGTCAAATCGCGTACACTCTCCCGGCCAGTCTTTCACCCCGCGGTGCTGTTTTCGCATCATTTGGCGTAGATTCAGGCCAAACTGTCGAAAACCCAACATGCACACTTTTAAGAACTTAAAAAAAAAAGGTTGAACAAGTCAAACGTTCTACAAAAACTTTTTTCTTTCCAACGTATGTATGTCGTATAAATAGTTGAAAATGTATTGTACATACATAACTGTACATAAACTGTACATTTGTTTGTATTTTTATGAACAAATGTACTGTTTATATTTTAAGAAAAGAGCAACTAGGCTGACTTTTTCTTTGGTCCATAATTCATACAGAGCAGTGTGAGGGAGAGACATGGAGCAAAAGGTATGTTGGTGGGAAAGATAACACAGTGGACAACATAGACTGTTAGAGAATTCTGTTTTCTCTAATGATTCAAGATGATAAAGGAAAAACAGCGAACGCTATGCGAGTAAAGTTGCCCATCACACATTCTTGCTGTGGGAATTGAGACTCACTGAGGGCCACAGCTGTAAGCGTTGGAGAGGGCTCTTTAGAAGAGGCATTGGCTATTATCCTCAAAGCCTCTCCTAAGTGAGCCAGCTTTTAGCACTTGGTGATAAGGAAATGCTGTCAGGCCTTTTTCCAGGGGGACTCCCAGTGTCCCTGCAAGCTCTAACACCTTTAAGAGCAGTTGGCAGGCTCAAGCAGCCATTGTTAATGGATGTAAAGAGCTGTTTTGTAAAGTGGAACATGTTGAGGATGGCAAAGAACGGCCGAGTGAAAGAGACTTAAAAGCCTTTTCAAAAAGGTTAAGATTAATACAGAGTGATAAGCTAGAAAATATAAAGACTTGCGTTGAATATAAAGAAGAGCCTTGGTATATATTTGTGGGCTCTGAATAATTTGTGAATAGCATTTGAGGGTCAACTACACTTATTGTTTTGTGTTTTTACCCCCAACTGTGGCTGATGTTCAGGTGCTTTGAAATCCAGCTTCATAAATGGCCAGTTTTTAAAAAAATTTTTTTTAGCAAGCTTGAGTTAATTAAGTCACTTTTTATTTACAGCCAATCCTCTCCCTGAACTGCCCTCATCTCATGAGAGGAGAGCATACCAACCTGTTGTCGTCCAGAAGCACCTGTCTCTGTGGGACGCTCTCCATTTCACTGAGAAGGTAAGAAGTGCAATGACGTGTTTCAGGTCCAAAAATAACCACCAGACACACGAATCACCCACATTTTCCCCTAGAGTGGGAATAGTAACAAAAAAACAACAAAAGAAAACTAAAAAACAATTTGATTAACAGCTTATTAGGATTGTGTCACAGAGCCTTCTCACATTCACGTCCACTTGTCAAGTTTAGATAACATCCGCCTTGCTCCTCAGAGGCATTCATATTCGAATGGGATGTAGCATGTCTGGCGGGTGCTTACAACATTAATTATGTTGTCCCAGTTGCAATAATTTGTTTCCCTCTGAGATGACAATTATTTTTCCCCTGACCAAGCTCACGCACTTCTTCAGAAAGAGGTCTCACTCTTCAGGGTTCTCTGTTTGATATTTCTTAGTTTCTATTTTGTTGTCTTTTTCCCCTGCCGTTTTTTTTAAAAGATCTTTGGTCAATTTAATGTAAGACAAAATAAAGTGTATTTAAATGTTCTCTTTATTTTTTATCTCATCTCTGCGCAGCCTTTCAAGTCAGAGAAGCCAATAAATATGGAGAACCTCCCCGTCAACAGGAACAACGGCCAGTCGTACGGCTACACCCTGTACGAGACCACCATCACCAGCGGAGGAGCCCTCAACTCGAAGAACAACGTCAGAGACAGAGCCCTGGTGAGCACAGGGACCAAACCCTCGCTCTGAGCTTGTTCGATGACAACATTTGTGTCGAAAGCTGCGGCGTGCCTGTTAGAAATCACACCCATGATCGGTGCACTTATGGAGTGCTGTGGACAAAGAGCGGTTGGAACCAGTGTCCGACTTCAGAGAAAGACACATGGAGTTCCCTTCCCCAGTTTTCTTTAAATCCCCCCTTTGTAAAGTGTACATTCCATTACATTCTTATACGTTTCACTTCCACTGTGTAGAAAATGAAATCACGTTTTATACATAGCTCCCCTTGTTTCAGGACACCACAATGTTTGGGACACAGTATTGGCAGGCACATTAAAGCAGCCATTATCAGGTGCAGAGTATCTTCTCTGGTGACGCTTCTTTTGAGGGGTTCCTCCTTTAACTTTCTCCTTCGGCATATGTTAGGTACACCCCGTCTGAACTTTTCTTATTATTTTCCTCAGCTTTGAGAGCTTGAGCAGCCAGAACCCCCGCACCCCACCCTCCCCATTGAACCCAGCAGCCGCTCTGCTTTGGTTCTGGGGCAGTTCTTTTTCATCTCTACACTCACCATCACTCTACTACAGATCCATTTTTTGTCTCAACTGTCCCGAACTCCTTTTCCCAGAGCACTGCCATCTGTCCATCCTGTTTCACTGGCTAATTAGTGTTTTTCTATTCATTAAGTCCTGTTTGAATAGTCTCTAAAAGACTCGTATCTCCGGAGGACTGTGAATGATCAGGTGTTTAAAGTGCTTTTCTTAACCATCGTGAGAACCTTCTGCCATCAGCTGTAGAGCCCTCTCTTAACGGATCAGTCACTTTCAGTTAACAGATTTAATCGGTACATTCTTTCTGCCTAATGATATTGCACATAGTTGGTTTCGGCTGTCCTAATGTGTGACCCATGTTTTATTGTTTTTATCATTTGTCTTTTCATGTCGAGCTATGGCATCTGTAGACTTCAAAGTGTTCAATCAGAGTGAGTGAGCAGTGAAACAAACCTCAGGCAGTACAGACAACTGATTGTCCCAAACATTCTGGATGTAGTTTGTGTAGTCATCTATTTGTATAGAAAACATATGGTGTTACTTATTTTTTAGCATAAATGTTTAGAATAGCCTCAGATCAGGCTGTCCCCTTTTCTCAGAGTTTTTTTTTAAAATTCAAATGTTCTCTTTCCGGTAGGTTTTTGTGGACAAACATTTTGTTGGTGTTTTGGACTACGTGGTGCAGGAACTTGCAATACCTGATGGGAAGGTACTGAGCATTTCTGTACTTCTGAATATATTTTACTCCCAGGCTTCTGGTTCAAAGGGATGAAGTTGTTAAAATTTAACGGCCCACACAGCATGTGAAAGCTTCAGGGGATGCTAATGGCTGTTTTAGGCACCAAGGGCCCCCTGTTAGGCCAGCAGAAAACGCAGACTCAGATCAGCCTGGTTGGATACTTAAAAATCAGACCAGCTGATATTTACCTTTTAAATCTACGCAAATTTTTATATATACGTATTTGAGGAAACCTCTGTTTTTCTGCGAAGCAGCTAATCTTTTTTGCATTTTTGTCCTTAAGGGAAAGAGAACTCTAGGTTTGCTGGTGGAGAACTGCGGAAGGGTGAATTACGGGGCCACTCTTGATGAGCAGCACAAAGGTACAAATAGTTTTACAAACTAGACACCTTTTAGTAGATGTTCCGGTAGGCAGAAGTCTCACCAGAAGACCTGCTGTCATTAGAGTTCCTGGACAGACACTAATTAACAGATTCTTAACGATTCACAAAGAAACTAAAAGCAGCTTTGACTCACCTTTCAGGTCTTGTCGGAGATATTCAGTTAAACACGCATGTCCTCCGAGACTTCATTATTCACAGTCTGGATATGAAGCCAGGCTTTGTAAACAGGTCTGTGTCTCTCAATTATTCTCCTGTTTTCTCTCCATGTTTGTGTTCCTCTGTCATTACACTGGTCTGCCTCTGATTTGATCTGACTGATTATCTCTCCCCTTAATCCAATTACAATGGGAACATGATGGCAAAATTCAGAAAACAAAACGCACCCTCCTAATTCAGTGTCTTGCGTCAAATTCTAGGGAAAGCAGCAGGCTCATTAAACGTCCATCCTCATTAAAGTGATGGAGGACCTCTGTCTGCATCCTCTGTTGTAGAGTTTTTCACCAAAAAGAGCGACAGGACAAGGTTCTTATCTTAACCTAACAGTGACTTTTAAAGGAAGGAAAGTACTTCCAGCTCATTTGTAAAAGCTTAATTTCAACATCAGCAATCCCTGCGAGTCAAATATGCACACGTTTTTTTTCATCTGCAAAGCCCTTACGGGTCTAATTTAGGTCATTCGTGAACCGGGCAGGCATTAAATCGCACAGTATTTTTCCATTTAAAGAGTTCAGGGTGAACGTAAGTGAAATGTTCATCATTTAGAAAGCTGAAACAAGCAGACATGTGTTTGATGACTCCATTTTGTTAAGCATGGAGATGGGACTTTAGTGCACCCCATTAATCGTTGGATCTCTCAGTTTTGATATGTGAAATCACGAGAGGAAGCATTTAGTCATTTTTCACCCTAAGGCACATCATAATGTTTCCATAATAAGATCAGAATGGCCTCTTGTACGTTGCTGTTAGTGTTTTGGCATGCAATTTACCTCACCCTAGTTTTCCTTCTTCTTAAAAACAAAGATAATAAACATCAGTTTGTTCGGAGAAGCGTATTTGAGCTCAGAAGAGTATTTTCCGCAGACGTGCCGCATTTTGAAGCTGTTCAGAGTCAGTTTGGGGAGCCAAACTATATAGTTTTGCCTCTGCGCCATTCTGAAAATGTCGAGGCCTGAAGCCCTTTATGACTGAGTGCTAAAAATTCATACCTGAGGAATGAACGCTGCTCTTATATCATGGCAACCTTTTGAATTTACTTGGAGGCAAGACATAACCTATAATGTTGGGGAATAATAATATTTCTCCTCGCTGTCCATGTCCAAACTTGTACTTGGCATTTACTGCAGCCGGATAAATGTTGTATGAAGGACACGATTTACTTACAGCCAAACTAACCTAAACAGAAATTTGTGCTTTGTATTCTCCCTCCACAGACTGGAGAGTTCAGGCCACTGGGTGTCAATGCGCCAGCAGCCCTCCTTCCCAGCCTTTTTCCAAGCCAGACTGTATGTGAACAGCTCCCCCAAAGACACCTTCCTCAAACTCCCCGTGAGTAGGAGGTTACAACCTCAAAACGTGCCACGTAGATGGAGTTGTCTGACTCCCCCAAATGCTTTTTTTTTCAAAGATTTTGTTGAATTTTTTATGGCTGGAAACATTTCATATATATTTGATAAGAGAGCGGTCAATATCTTATAGAACGGGTGTGGACGTATGACTTTTCCTTCTGGTTATGATCACCGGTATTATTGCTATTAAAGTCAGACATGTTGATTGAACTGATCGTCCACAGGGAAATAGCACTTAGAACTCATTAGATTCATTCAGATAACAGCTGGTTTCTTCTGTTAATGAATTCAAATGATTTCTTAAAAGTGTCTTGATAGAGAATTATTCAGATATTCCGTTTTAGGGGCTTCTGCATAATGCTCTTATATAAGACGCTGTATAACAATCCCCTCGCCTCTGTGAAGTTCAATTAATGTTGAATTTCACCCAAAAAGTTTATTAGGCAAAAATGCAAACCTCGTTTGAAAACAGGGTTATGAATGTGTTTTTGTTTTTTGTTTTTTACTGAATTTGTGCGGCGCCATGAGCTGTGAGTGGCTGTGCTTACAGGGCTGGAGCAAAGGCGTTGTGTTTGTCAATGGGAGGAATTTGGGACGTCACTGGACTGTCGGCCCTCAGCAAACGCTCTTCGTGCCCGGTCCTTGGCTTCACAGAGGCGACAACCAGGTGCTTCACATGAGCTGTACACACATCAACACTGAATACTTTTTAATTGTTGCTCTCCTTTCTTATGGCGCTTCAACGAGACAGTACAGATGAACATATTTCACAAATAGAGCTAAAGAAAAGGCTAATTATTATATGTCCAGTAAGACACACGCACACACACACACACACACACACACACATATATATATATTACTTATTTAATATATATATATATATATATAT